GTTCAGCAGCTGTGCAGTATTAAAATGGCTCATAAGGCAAATTTGGTGACACCTATTATTGAATAAGCCACGTACTGCATTGCATAGGCAGCAACCTGAGGTGCAAGACTTGAACCAATCTGGTGCTGCATCATGGACACTAACATCAGCAGTCAAGGACCATGAGGAACTAAGGCCTAAATTTTGCTACGACCTCTGACCTGCTTTCCACAAACATGGTAGTTGCCCAGTAAGGCTGTAAAAGGCATCTTTCTGGAAATTTGTATGAAAATTATACAGAAAACCACTAGTATTTTGTTTTTCATAATGACAGTGCTGAAAGGCGTAGTAAATCTCATGATTTATGGGCTAACCTCTGCTTTAAATGCAGATTCTCAATGAAGTGTTTAAATGCTAATACAAAAATGTGATCCTGAAATATTTGCGAGCAGTTATTCAGCAGAGCCTGGGACAAGATGTAGGTTACTACAGGCACATTCTCACCTCTGTGGCAATTGGAACTAGATCAGGACATTCCCTGCCATCTTTTACTGCTGCAGACTTTGTAAGAAACCATAAAATGACATTTACCCTGCGCCATGGGAACATGTGCTAGAAAGTACCCACAAGTGTGGGTAGAAGTAGGGAGGAAGACGGGAATACGGATCAAAGTGCTCCAAACCGCAGAGAAAAAAAATCTGCTGCAGCATTTCCTTGGGGTCAGAACTGCTTATGAAATGCAGTGCAAAAATGTCACTGTCTCTCTTCCTGAGCGTCCCCTTCCCCACTGCAGACAGCAGGTCAGCACTTGCATTGCTACATGCCTCTGCAGAGCTGCCCTTGGAGCCAGCACGTTTGAACCACATAAGTAATACCCAAGGCTCTTCCTAGCCTGTGGACTTAATCTTCTATGTCCCACAATATTATAGAGTTAACATAAAACCTGTTACTCTTCAGCTGTTGCTATCAATGCTTGTGGAAGATCATATTTATTTTCTCAGTATCCAGCATACATGGGATACAAATTTCCCTATCAGTATGAAAAGCAGAGGCGTAGGAAGTCATCCCACTTACAGCAGCATATTACAGCCCGTGTAATGATGATATGACCTGCAGTTTACAACAGCTCTTTATTTTACTTACATTATAAAACATCATCACAGGGCTTTGAACAGCATTCACCTGTTTCAGATGGTGAGCTTAATTTTCCCCTTTATTATAAATACTAAAAAATTAACTTTATTTTCCATTAGCAATACCATAAAAACTTAGTCTAACTGGACATATTTTTCAGCGATCCCCTGATGCAAAAATCCTGGAGAATTTGAAGTAGATCTCTATGTTGTATACACACTTAGTTTTATATATACTTATATCAAAACTCACCACTTCTGTATATCACTCATTATCGTGACCTTTCACTTGATAGATTATGTCAGCATTATGAAAATATGAAGAACCATCTAGTTATTTTGCTGCTTTATAAGATATTTAATGATTGAACAGAGAACTGCAAAATTACATGAATGCAATGGAAAGTCATGTACACATTCATTTAAGATTTCCACGTGGACTTTTCTTATTCTAAAACTTCTTCCACATTTTAGAAGTCCTTCAGAAGCTTCCAGTTATGTCCTTCTTTGAACACATATACACAAAATAATATGATGTGCATATATGTATTATACATTACATACCATATGCAATCCTATATATATTTATAAGCAAATACATGTAACACACTCTGTACATATCGTATGTAATACACATACACAGAGGGCGAGATACCACAGGTGTGTCATATGCATTTAGACATACAGGTGTATGCATAAATATATATGGTCAATTAATCCCTGATATGTATACGCTGCTCTTTCTGAGAACTCTGTGTCTTCCACAGAAACCTACTGCCATCAGCATGCTCCATTCACTTCCAAAGACACAAACAAATCTGTCCCTGACCCATTTAACCTCAGTGAGTGTTGGCTCCTACCTCATCAACTCCAGTTCATGCTTTGAAATGGACCCATCTTATCCTTGGGTTAGGTTTTAAATCACCAAATTAAACACAGTTGGTACTATAATGTATTTAAACAAATAACCAACAGCACTTCACAAATAAAAATCACACAAGGCCTGATTCTTCTTCTGCCGAAGCCTGTTTAATCCCAATGTGACTCAAATGTCCGAAGGGACTGCTGCATGCAACAAGTAACCTGTGAGTAGCACAAGGCTGCTTGCCATGGCTTTAGAGTATAATTCATATAGACTCTGAGTAGGTTGAGCTGTTTATTTTGCATTTGTATTTGTAAATCAAAGAACAGGCCTTTTATGGAAAGACAACAGGTGGATATTCATTAGAAATAACAGAACAGATTATACATTCTTAAGTGAAATGTGCACCATATAACCTTTGGGTTACATTTTTAATTTGTTAGATAAATATTTACTTACTGAATGTGTTTTTACTACTATGCACCTGATTAACTAGGACAACTCTTATTAAAATGTTTTAGATGAATACTCTGCATATTAAAAATACATAACAAAATTCTGAAACTAGTCACTGCTAAAAAGTAGATCTTGGATCCTGCAAAGATCCAAAGCACCTGCTTAAAATTAGAATTTGAGTAGGTCCACTGATGGCCTTTATTGTAAGTGCCTAAATATTTGCAGAATCAAGACCCTTCAAGGGAAGAAGAACCTGAGAACATGTAGTGATTACTATCATGAGTAATCCCCACCGAGGAGAATGTTATGTGTTGTGGCAATAGCCAGAGCAGACTCCAAGGGCGAGAGAAAGACTGACTTCATTCATGTGTGAAAAGCGAAGATGAGACTGACTCTTTAAACAGCAAAGAGCAATGATTACCAATAAATCTTCCCAAACACACTACATTTTATTTCCCAAGAAGGCAAACTTTGCATTACACATTAATAACTTAGGCATATTTTCCTCCTTAAATATATTTGTATAACATAAAAATAACAAATCTCTATTTTGAAAAGTGAAATTTGAATACAAAAATTGCTTTGGGACTGAAACTGCGTACTTCAAATTCCTCCCACAGCAATTTATGATAGCCAGGTTGTAAATCCCAAAAAAACGTGTCTGTCGTTGGAAATGCTGACACAGCCTCATTTTATGCTGCTGTAGTACATCTCAGTATAGAGACAAGCAGATGCACTTTTGCACACAGGCTGCCAGAAATCCTACAGCTCAATCCTTATGAGCTTGTTCTGCTGTAAGATGGTAAATTGATTTAAATTGCCAAAATCTAAAAAAAAAACAAAACTGAAACTTGTGCTTCTAGAATGCTCCGACTCTGTTTGCAAAGCACTTCCCCTTGTCAGCTGGCTTTGGCATCATTTTGCCTTCCTTATTGCATGCCTGTTGAACAATTATGTGGCTGAAGTGTTAGTGTATGTGTTGTATAAGCATGTACATTAAAGAAAACTCTCAAAAGAATTGAATTTCTGCAATTTGGATTCATAAATTTTCTTCATCTCTGTATTCTTTTTGTAGGGTCTAGTGCTACTTTAGTTGAACTCAATGGGGAAAGTCCCACTGAAATCAGTGATGCAAAAGGAGCTGTTAGATGTTCAAAGATCTATCCAGCCAACCTCTTTGCGATTCCCTCTCTCGCTATAATTTTTAAAAATTTGCCCATTATCACCAACTGCCAATGTTAAAATTAACTCTTTTTTTTTAATACAAACAACATTTACCACAAAAATATGAAGGTAAAAGCCATCAACTTGTTTGCAGGTTATTACCTATTTGTGTGACACCGAAGAAAAATAATTGACAGTCACAAACTGTACACATAGTATTCAGTGGGGGACAGTATATTTGTGGTTTAGAGTAAAAAAAGGTATTGTTTCAGTGGTAATTAAAATACTTACTGATGACTTACAAGACTTTAAAATCAAGAAAGTGTGATAATTTGGCTACAGAGGCGATCATTGTAATATGTCTAACACAGGTCTGGATAATAGAAAGGTGAGTAGAGGGATCTGGGGAAAGAAAGACATCGTCATGCAGAACAGCACTAGTTCTTGCTCAGTATACTCTTCAGACTTCTCTCCACAGCTTCATCTAATTCCTCTTCCAGCTCTTCCTTCTTGGACATGGCCAGTTTGGACTGATAATCTTTTACTATTTGGTCTATATATGGTGCGCTCTGAGTCCCGTGCAGCATCAGTGTCCACTCCTTCAGCACGCCTCGCTGCGGCAAACTGCCAATAAACCCAATCTCTAGAGCCCAGGTGCCTCGGGGGTCTTCTCCCCAAGTGTGTGTGGTCATGAAAGGCCATTTGTCAAAACCCACCTTGGAGTCGTCATCTCTGGGGCGCCGGCTCAGTAAAATGGACTTTGTTCCCATTGGTGAGGTCATGTTGATGTTGAGGTCTCCTCGCCTAGTGGAATTCACAGTTATAACTGCTTGGACGTGTTCAAGGTAGCGGACAAAGTTTTCCTTCCCCTCACAAGCATCAGTTTTAAGTGTGAGGACCAGCTTGCCACTTGGTGGTATCTTTCTGCAGGTCAGAAGATAATTGAGCAAATTAAAAGGATATAGACAGCATGACATGGCTCATTCTAAAACTACTGGTGTTTGGTGCCTCACAGAAAACCCCATACTATTTTCATTATTAATACATGAAAAAGTAAGAAAATAGTAATTGAAAACTTAGCCAAAAGAAGAACATTCTCCTTTTAGAAAATGATATCAAAATCTTAATTTGAAAATACATTATGAAATGTACACCTGTACAAAGAAAGAAGGAATACAATTAAGAAGTACATACTGCTATTTAAGAAATGTTAACATATATTTAATAGCTGCCTTTACTTATCACTACTATATTGGGCAATTGCATAATAATGTGTATATTCAGTAGAAGAACTGTTAGCAGTCAGTCATGTTGGACAGTCACCTTAAAAGAAAGCAGCAAATGGCAGTTTGGAGTCAGAGGAGCCAGTTGCATAGAATTTTGGTGCAGTCACATTGAAGCCTCCATCCTTCTTCTATTTTGGAAACCAGCACAAACATGGGATCCCAGTTTCAACTCATTTGAAAAATATTTTTCCATTAAAATTGCTCTCCTTGAACTGCTCCCGTACAGGAACACACACAGAGATTAAAGAACTTGCACTTGTTTACTGAATTGCCAAAGTGCTGCACCTCGAAGTCACAGATTTCTTGGTTATTATAATTTCAGTCCTTTGGAAGCAAACTCACAAGTAACTGAAGGAAATTTGTCCCAAGTATTACCAGAAAGCTAGACCCGCAGATTGATCACAGGCTCAGACCTGCTACATTTCTTTTGTGAGGACCCTGTCATCAAATGGAAACCAGATCCCTGTTATCATTGCACAGGGCTCCTTTGCTGGAGGAAGTCGTGCACCTGAGGGTAGAATGCCTAGAAGTTAGCACGCAAGAGGAGAAAATACTTCATGTCTTGTCTGTGCAATCACTCACAGCTGTTAATAGTCTTATCAACATTTGTCCAAAGGATGAATTACACACAAAAGGAAGCAACTTTATGCCAGTTAGTGCTCTTGACCGCCCCTATGCTGGGCATCCATAGTGTGGTTGCTCCCCATGTAGTTGAGGAAACCCATGAGGCAGCATCATTTCCAAAGTGTGCCTCTAAGGCTGTGAAGAGAGAGCAAGGCACACTGATGCCTTCCCAGCTCTTGCAGAGGAAGCTGGTAGCCACCATGCACTGGACAGACCCACTCAGGATCTCAGCACAGGCCTGAAGAATAAAGATGCCTTCAAAAACGGCACTGAAAAGTCACAATTTCAAATGGTATAGACATAAACAGTCCATTAATAGATTAGTATTTCAAATAATTAAATTGAACTATAGCCGTTGCAGTCAATTAGTATTAATTCATTCACTTGTTGACTCATTCACTTTAGCACATGAAGGTAAATCAGAAAATAATTTGACAACGTAGCCTGCAATTAGAGATTTGAAGAATATAAACCAAACACAATTAAATGCTGTAGTGTTCAAACTGAATCACTGGTACCTGTAGATTGTTTTAGTCTTGTGGAGATAAAACTGTCTGCTGGAATATGTCACAGGGAGGTATGACCTGGCTGACAGATATTTCATGTGGCGGCAGTTTATATAATCTACAGTGTCAGCCTCCCAGATTCTCACTTGTGCACAAGCTCTTTATTCACAGAAACTTTGGCACAAAACTACCTGTAAGTACCCAGGAGAAATGGATGTTGCTATTAACACTACTGGCACTAGCAACAATGATACAGATCAGCCAAAGAATGCACTCCTCCATCAAACCAGGAATTGAAAGATCATGTAGTTTATTTTATCAATTTACTGAATGTTATGGGTTTGCGTGGCAAGGTTTTGGTAGTGGGGGCTATAGGGGTGGCTTCTGTGAGAAGCTGCAAGAAGCTTCCCCCATGCCTGATAAAGCCTGTGCTAGCTGGCTCTAAGATGGATCTGCTGCTGCCCAAGGCCAAGCCAATCAGCAAGGGTGGTATCACCTTTGTGATAACGTATTTAAGAAAGTGAAGAAAAAAACTCTGCGGTGAGATGGCAGCTAGAGAGACAAGTGAGACGATGTGAGAGAATAAATGTTGCAGACACCAAGGTCAGTGAAGAAGGAGGGGGGGAAGGAGGTGCCTGAAATATCGGAGCAGAGACTCTTCCCTTGCAGCTTGTGATGAAGACCATAGTGAGGCAGGTTGTCCCCCTGCAGCCCATGGAGGTCCAAGGTGGAGCTGATATCCACCTGTAGCCCATGGAAGGGACCCCACACAAGAGCAGGTGGATGCCTGAAGGAGGCTGTGACCCCGTGGGGAGTCTGCGCTGGAGCAGGCTCCTGCCAGGACCTGTGGACCCAT